AGCGAAAATTTATAAAAACAAGAATTATAGAAAGAATATACTATACGCTTTTTTATATACCTGTTAATTCCGAATAGCCGCATTCCGAAATAAGATTATCGTAAACCCCGTATAAGGCAAATTAAATAATTTAAACGCTAATTAAAAATGTATTTTTCGTCGGAAAGAACCACTTTATTTCGCAAATCGCTCCTTTTAAAGTTGAACTGAATAAAAACGGCGTTCGGTTAATGAGAATTATTCCTTGCGCATAATGCTTTATTTATTTTATTGGTAGTTGATTTGGCGCGCCTTGTTCTAGCTTACTGTCGCACACTTTACGTGCTTAGAGCTGTGCGCAATTCTACCCATTCATCTCCCACTGATCGGCGCTTATAGCGCCGTCATCCTAATAAGAATTTATGCAACAGGTGCAAGCAGGATTGCATAATGCCATAAATCTTGCAAGTAATATCGATTAATGTTTTAAATGATTGCAAAAGAAAATCAGATTTGAGAATGTCTCGGTACCGAAATCTGATGTACCAAACTTGTTTTTATGTAGTTACTCAGCGAGGATTCTTTAGACTAATGACCAAAGCAAGCAAGAAACCAAAGCAAAAGTAATGATATATAAAACAACCCCAGAGTTCTCAACTAGTAAGGAGTTGAGCAACATTGTTTACAGCAACACTAGAAGAAATCTTCCGTCAACTGGACTGGACCAACAAAGGATTAAAAGTAGATGGAGAATATTTTAACCATCTAAGATTCGCTGTCCTAATTGCCAATAATCCTGAAGAACTACAAGAACTACATTAAATTAACGATAAGTATTTAGTATTTAAACCAGCAATAAAGTAGGTCTCAAAATTAATTTAGCAAAAACTAAAGTAATGTACAGGGTGAGTCAAATTCGACGCTTTTAAATGGAAACACCCTTTTCTATAGGAGATAGACAAAAACTAATATCGGTGTCTGGAGCTCAATTTTTGTCAAAAACATGATGTTGAAAACTGCATATCGATATCTGTTACCGTTTCGGAATTACGGGGTGTTTTTCTAAAATATGCATTTTTAACAAATCGCTGTAACTTTTTTGCTATGGAAAATTTTGTATTTTTATGAAAACATTTCCAAAGCACCTTTTCACGTAAAATTTAATGGTTTAAGCATAATTTTTTTAAAATTAATAATTTAAGAATTATCAACAGAAAATTTGATTTTTTATATGGGATACCCTGTATATTTTTAATTTATGGAAAATAACTTAAAATTACCTTTCCAAAAATATAACACACTTGATATGTTGCTCGATTCCTCTTCGAGATATAAATTATATAAAAATTCGCCCGCTTTAAATAAGTAGGCTTTGAGCTGTGAGCATCAATTAAAACGAAAATAATATTCGCTATAGAGATGCAGAATTTTATAAATTTTTAAATAATTTAAAATATATTTAACCAACATCAACACATTTAAACTATATGTATATAAAACAATAAAAATAAATAGCAAACCAAGACATGAGATTTTGCTACAGGTGTTCGACATATCGACCGTCTTCTGTTATGGACAGACGGGGCAGTTTTTGAACATTTTTCGCGGAATCATTAACTCAGTGGGGGTGAAAGATACCCTCTCATAACTGCTAAGTATTTCTAATTCTTGTCTAGATTATACCGAAGAATCAGGAACCTTTATTATTCCGCAAATATATACATAGGATTAGATCCATCGGCACTAAGTCAGGCGCCCTCGACGGCCAACGGCTGGGATCTTGGTTAGCTATTCAATTATTCTTGAAATTGGCTGCAAAAATTTGCCGATAACTTCAGCGTTTAAAGGCGGTGCGTCGTCGAGTTCCATTATGGGCATATCATCAATAAGGGGTCCAAAGCCTACTAGTTAAAAGTGGCAAACTTTTAAAAATTCTGTATTTCGAATTATTATTAATTTCGGGAATTATAACAAAATATCAAGTGTGCTATATTTTTGGAAAGGCAATTTTAAATTATTTTCAGTTAATTAAAAATATAGAGGGTGTCCCAAATAAAAAATCAATTTTTCTGTTGATAACTCTTAAATTGTTAATTTAAAAAAAGATATACTTAAACCATTAAATTCTACGTAAAAAATGCTTTGGAAATGTTTTCATAGAAAAACAAAATTTTCCATAGCAAAAAAGTTACAGCTATTTGTTAAAAAAGCACATTTTTGAAAAACACCCCGTAACCCCGAAACGGTAACAGATATTGATGTGCGGTTTTCACCATCATGTTTTTGATGAAAGTTGAGCTCCAGACACCGATATTAGTTTTTGTCTATCTCCTATAGAAAAGGGCGTTTCCATTTAAAAGCGTCGAATTTGACCCACCCTGTACAGGGTGTCCCCCTTTTTGTTTGAAATCATACGGTATCTCCGTTATTTGTTAAGATAGAAAGGTCCGGTTTGCACAAACCTTTGTCACTTTTTTGTCAAACGGAAAATGCTGTAAACAAAATTTTCATAGCTCTCTTCGTTTCTGAGCTACAGAGTCTTTTTGAAAATTTTGCAATTTGTGACACCCCCAACAATAACAGAGATACATTGTTAAAGGTATTGAGACGGTGAAAACTGTTCATTGTAGAACTTTTTACGTAGAATACGTTGGCGTAGTCTGTTATTCTACGAAAAGAATATTTTTAAAGATATGAACAAAAGTTATGTTTTCTTAAATAGAACACAGCTTCTCAAAAATATATAACACGCTATATTTATTTTCACTATTTAATGCAATATTTAAAAAAAATATATTTAAAAATCATATTTACTAGTAGGCCATGATTGATAATAAAAGAAACTAAAGAATTATTAAAAGTATACTGCTATCTGTCTCTTGTTTTATTTTGAGAGCCAGTAATTAATATACAGGGTGTTCCATTTGAAAAAACATAACTTGAGTTCATATTTTCAAAAATATTTTTTTCGTAGGAAAACAGACTGTGCCACTGTATTCTACGTAAAAAGTTCTACAAGAATCAATTTTCACCTTCTCGATATCGTCCATAATAACGGAGATACGGGGGCTGTTTCAAATTCCAAAATTTTCTAAAAGACCCTGTAGGTCAGAAACAAAGAGAGATATAAAAATTTTGTTGACAGCATGTTCCGTTTAACAAAAATGTGGCACAGGTTTGTGCAAACCGCATCCTTCTATCTTCACGAATAACGGAGATACAGTATGATTTCAACTAAAATGGGACACCCTGTACAACGCACTAGTAGATAGAAGACACATTCTAATAAATAATACAACACTGCAATTAGTAGACGAATATATACATATATTTGGGACAACTAATACATAGTTCGAGCTCTCTACTACCAGAAATCAACAGAAGAATTAAGTTAGCATGGGAGAAACTCAATCATATTCAAATCTAGAATCTCTCCTTTTAAATCTATAGAAGAAATCATTCGACCAATGTGTATTACCAGTCATGACCTATGCATGCGAAACCTGGACACATAAAACGGACATTATAAGAAAACTGCAGATAGCACAACGCTGACTGGAACGGAACATGCTGGGAATAGCCAAGAAAGACCGTAAAAGAATAGTGTGGATACGACAAAAGACCCAGATAATTAGGGACAGGACATCTGGCAAGAAGGATAGATAAAAGATGATAACATGAGCTCGCATAGCCTATGGGCGCAACTACAGGAGAGTATCTAAAGATGTGGGAGATGCTACACCATAATTGAATATGGTTGAATAAGCTGAAAATGATGATGATGATGATGATGATATTATCTCAGAAAAAAAAATAGTTTGACTATAAGATACATTGTAAACCAAAATTTCTTTTAATTGATTAAATAAAAAAAAATCTTTAATAATCTTTAAATAATAATAAAATATATCTAATGTATTTAAAAAGGTTACCATATTTTTCTTTTAAGAAGAATGTAAAATATAGAATATAACTGGATAATTACATTAATGAGTAATTATAAGTTAAGCTCAGATATTATAGCAATTATCTAATTAAAATGTTATCGGCATATAATTATTATATGCATCTTACTTAATTGTTGTAGTTTTGTTAGAATATAAAATTGAAGATTTACTTTGTACCAAAGTGAAATTAATTTAAAATAAAACATTAAGAGGAAAATATAATATGTACTCAAACACAAATTTAAATAAAATTTTTTCATTAAGCTTTTTTGAAGAATTAAGTATAAAATTTATTTAGTTTTATAAAATTATTCATAATTTTCTTTAAATAAATTTATAGATTATTATCTGTATATTATATTATTTATTATACTATAACATGAGATGAAGAAATTATTTTACAATTTGAATTTAAAGTTAATAAAAAATATTCATAAAAAAATATTTGTATTTATTTCAAATTCACTAAAATTATTGCAATAAAATTTCCTAAAAAAAGATAATATATTAAAAAATATTTGTTTTTTTTAACGGCTACAAAATAAAATATTAAAATCATGAAACTAAAAAAATGTTAACACTAAAAAACAAAATAAGATATAAAATATGTTTAGTTTTGCAGAAATAGTTTTATAAATTGAATACAAAAGGGAATAATTACATTGCATTCATTTATACATTTTAAATTTTATAAAGTTTTGTAAAATCTTCTGATAAATGGTTAAATTTGCTTAATAATTGTATCAATTAAAATATAATAAAAGTATATTCAAAAAATTATTCCTTTTTATTTAGAATTCGTAAAAAATAAAACAGCAAAATTAAACTACAAAGAAAGTATGACAGAAATAAATAATAATTATTTAATTTTGAATCTAAGAGTTGAGCTTCGAGACTTATTTGTAAAATAAAAAAAAATATTGAATTCAAATTTGAAAAGGCTAAAAAATAAAAGAATAAAACTAACAACAGAAATTTAAAAATAAAAAATAAAATAATAAAACTTGAAAAAAAAACAGAATAATAAATAAAATTTACTTAGTTTTGCAGAAGGAGTTAGTTTGTAGTACTTACGAGGAATTTCATATTGACGGTCGGTGGTTGATAATATGTAATAATAAGTAATTCCTTGTGGGATTACACTGAAAAACCGTATGAATACCGAGTCCTCGTGTTTTCCCTCTATATATAATTAAGAAAAGGAAAAAGGTGGTGGCACTGGGTCACTACTGGACCGGCCGGTACTACTTTTGCCTTTATGTCATAAATACATAAAGTACTACGTAAGTACGCACCACATGTACGTACGGGTACGTATCTAAGTGGGATTTCTTAATTTTAATGCCGCTATGAGCGAAAAAAAGCCGCGAAATCACGGTTTAAAAGTTGTCTTGACTGGTACAGGGTCGACAGATATACCCAAAAAAAGAAATTATTATTATTATTATGGCTATGTATGGGGCATAGATATGCGGTAATAAATTGATCTTGTATTGATTCCGCGTGTTAGAATAGTTAAATAATATTAAATGGCTTTAGGGTGATTTTATCGAATATACAGGGTGAGTTTTTCGAAATATTATAAGATCAGAGATATAAGTGAACTTAGTAGTATACAAATGTCAACTTATAATGATCCATGTTACAGAAATATTTTTTGTAAGTCAGTTTTGAGCACTTCTGTTTTGATTTTGGTACTATTTTTAATAAAGCTCTATATCAGATTTACAATTTGAGATTTTAACAACTACATACAGGGTGGTCCGAACTGTATTCCGGAAACTTCGGCAGCATATTCTGCAGATAAAAATAAGTAAAAAGTTCGTATAAATGTATGTCCTAAAATGCTTAGTTTCGGAGATACAGGGTGTAGAAGTTTCATTTTTATTTCGATTTTTTCCAATTAATTTCTGAAGCAACATCAATATTTGGATGAAAATTGGTGTATGCGAGTTTTTTGACATGAGAAATTTGATTTTGATGTCAATATGACTCCTACTAGTAGAGGGCGCCACCTACATATTTTTTAACTGGTTTGAAGAGTAATAACGTTTCGTCCGTACCTGTATAAAACTACTGAGTAAAAAAATATACATTTTCGAAGTTTTTTACGTGAAAAACGTCTCTTGCTAAAAATCGCTACGAGTAACTGTTTTATTATCAATTTTTGCAGAAAAATTTGTGATTATTTTATAAAAATAAAAATTTCCTAAATTTATTATTTCATTTACGTGTTTATTTTTCGTCAATAATGACATGTATAGTCTATTTCCATTCTAAATATCCTAAGAAGGGATACTCGTAGCGATTTTTACAAAGAGATATTTTTTACGTAAACAGTCACAGAGATGTATATTTTTTCGCTCGGTAGTTTTATACAGGTACGGACAAAAAGTTATTACGCTTCAAAACAGTTAAAACACATGTATGTGGCGCCCTCTACTAGTAGGAGTCATATTGACACCAAAATCAAATTTCTCATGTCAAAAAACTCCCAGACACCAATTTTCATCCAAATATTGACGTTACTTCAGAAATTATTTAGAAAAAATCGATATAAAAATTAAACTTCTACACCCTGTATCTCTGAAAGTAAGAATTTTAGGACATACATTTATACAAACATTTTTACTTATTGTTATCTGCAGAATATTCTGCCTAAGTTTCCGGAATACAGTTCGGACCACCCTGTATAGAGGGTTATTCGTCACATACGACACGGAGTATTATAGCTAAACGGTTAGATTTTTGCAAATTGTAAGTTTTGGGTTCATTGAAAGACTATTAGAGCTACAACTTAAAAATATTTTACAAGATACAGAGTGTCCCAAATAAATAAAAAATATTATAGTTGTATTTTTTTAAATAGAACACCCTGTATATTATTCCATTTTTAGATTCTACGATTGAAATAAAACTAAATTTGATTAAGGTTTATCACACTTAAACCTTACCGTTTTTGAAATATTTAGGTTTATATATTTTTCGTGTTTCACGTGTTCGTTCGGCCTGCTCGCGAGCAATGTGGACGCAGCTTTAGTGTATCTCTATGTTTACTTATTTCTCTGAAAACATACTATATTTTTGGTAACGTCAGCATGCATTCTTTTAATTATAGTAAATAATTTCTCTCCACTCGAGTTCTCCAATAATTATTCTTGTTCTAATTACTTCACGAAGTATAAAAACATTCCGTCTTGTTTCAGTCCGTTCTGTAACAAATCCTTCGGCGATCTTCAGCATATTACAAAACAAACATACAACCATCGCAAGGTCACCAACTGAATTCCGTTATGCTTATGCTCTCGAGACACCCGCTTGTTTCAATATTATTGTTTACGATTATCAATAACTCAAATGTAAATTATATAGATTTCGCAAGAGCTTGGGGCAAGAAGGTCCTTTTTTATAGGTACAGGCGATTAAAAAAGTTCGTAATCATCACTACGACTATAATCCTTTCGCTTAAGTTAGTTCTTGAGCCTGAGAGTCATTAAAATCGCATTTAAAAAAAAGTAATTTTGAAATGGGAGTAATTATTATGAAGGTGTAATGATTGACATGATATAGTCGTAATTATAATAAGCAAAATGATAAAAAATCCGGAATGGTGGTCTGAGGAATTGGAAGAGCTTACAAAGAATAAAAAGAAAGCTTATCAGAAGTGGCTACTTACAGAAAACCCTGAGGATCACATAGCATACAAACGTTGTAATAGAGAAGTTAAAAGAATTGTACGCGAAAAGAAAAATGAAAGTTGGGACAGGAAATGCGAACACATCGAAAGGTATATGGGCGTAACAAAAGTATCAGAGGCGTGGAAAGCACTTAAAAATATTCGAAGATCTTACTCACAGAAGATCGAGAACACTTCATAGAACCAACAGAAGAAATTAAAATCACACAGGTGGATACAGAAAACATAAATATAAATGAAATAGAAAAAGCTCTTAGGAATATGAAAAGTGGCAAGGCCTCAGGACCAGGAAACATTCCCATTGAACTGGTAAAACACGGACCAATCATACTACTGGAAATTTTAGCAGAACTTTTTAACAGATGTCTCATACAAGGAGATGATATTCCTACAGACTGGAACATATCATGGTACAAAGAATACAAGGTATGATCGATAGCGGCTCCAATTTGGTTCAGTTCGCGCATACCACCTGTGACGTCACTATGAAAATAATGAATAAATAAAAAATAAAGAAAGTTGACAGGAGATTGAGGAGATCTGCATTTTTTGGGGTTATGGTTAAGAATTGTTTATTTTTAAGACTTTTTAGTTCATTTAATTTAATAATTACTAAAACCGGCAGTTCCAAAAATATATTTAAAAATAATAATTACCTATTAACATGGATTTGGTCGATAATAGGTAAGAATACTAAATTTATTTCTATATTCGGTATAAAATTGTTTATTAGGTTTTTAGTTTGCGATGTTTATGGTAAATAATTTTCATGTTCATTGCCTCTGAATTCACATGAGGACAGAGATGAGGTTATCTATGGAAAAGTAACCACAAGAGGAATTATTACATCATTTAAAAAATGTTGGGAAGTTTATTGTTTCCCATCGAAAAGTAGAAAATGCCAATGCAGATGAACGTATTGTAATTGTGATAGAAGTAATTCCAAGGGTGAAGTTTATTATAATTAGTGACCTGTGCTTCTTTTTATATGTAGATGTTTCAGGTTTTGAGAATAAATTGGTTGAACGACACCCAAAATTTAGAGGAAGTATTTGCATACCCAGAATATGCCCATCGAGGATTATATTATAGCTCAAATTTCCTTTAATGGTAGACAATTATTCAATGCAAATTAGCTTTTTAAGTGACTGAAATATTAAATAGTTTACAATATGGTATATCACTAAAAATATATTACTTTTAGGTACAATTAGGGCCCGATACATTTCAAAAAGTAGATTATTTTATATTAAATGAGGTATTGTACCAACAATCAATTTATATTAATAACGGAGATTAAAAAATAACAGAATAAATAGTTCTTTTTTTATACTACAAAAAAAACTATAGAATACAACAGTATTTAAAAAAATAAATAAAAAGTTATGTCCCGGCCGAGATTCGAACCCGGTCTCTCGCTTTCTAGCCCGACTCCTTACGCACTGCTCCACAGTAACTTGCTTAGCGATAATTCAATGACGGTATATAAACAAAAAAACAGGTTTATAACAATATCTTGACGATTTGAACTGACGCGCGGAGCGTGCTGACCAATAGCGCCTGTTATCACCTGTGACGTAGCGACCAACCTGCGCAATATCATACCTTGTATTCTTTGTACCATGGGAACATATCATATATTAGTTCCATCCATAAGAAAGGAGATAGGAAGGTGTGTAAAAATGGGGAGGTTGTATGGTAGAATTCTGAAAACGAGAATTGAAATGGAATGCCAAGAACTAGAGGAGCAAAGTGGTTTTCACGCAGGAAGATCGTGCTTAGATAATATTTTCACCTTACAACAAGTTATTGAAAAGAGAATAGCTCGAAATTTATCCACCCATCTGATTTTTTTCGACATTTAAAAAGCATACGATACGGTACCCTTAACAAAACTTTTCAAAACTCTGACGAAAATCGGCCTAAACAAAGTATACATCCGCGCAATCCATAACATTTATAAAAACGCAACCAGCGCCGTAAAAATTGGCAAAAATATATCAGCACCCTTCAATATCTCGAAAGGACTTAAACAGGGTTGTTGCTTGTCGCCTACTTTGTTTAAAATTTATGTCAAGGAAGCTCTGGATGTATGGAGACGTAAATGCTCAGGAATGGGGATACAGATTGGTAATCACCAATATTTACACTTATTTAAGACTCACCCTGTATAATTAAAAATTTATTAAGTTTGGAAAAAAATCTGTAATTTTAATTTTTTCAATACTAAACTTTTTACATTTCAATTCCTTATACTTCTTCAGCTAATGGTGAAGTGCTGATGGACACATGCCATCCAGTTCGAAAGGACCCAGTCTAGGAAAGTTTTCTCGTTGTAATTCGGTTTTAATATATTATTTTGATGATAATAAGGTTATTTAATAATGAATTTTTACCCCCTAACCGAAGAATCATACTTCTTCAGCTAATGGTAAACTGCTGATGGACACATGCCATCCAGTTCGAAAGGACCCAGTCCAGGAAAGTTTTCTTGTCATAATT